ATTTCTCATATTTGGTGCATGTCAGTAGAATATAAAAACATCTAAGTTGAAATAAAAGGAAGATACTCAGTTTTATCTGAACCTGGTAAAAAAAGATAGAACATATATACACATACACAGCTTGATATTGACCTGCTTTATAACCAATGGGAATATTCAGGGATAGGGAGGGGAAAGAGGATTTAAGAGAAAAAGAGTTGGGGAGGAAATAATCACAAACAAAAAAGTCAACTATGAAGGTCTGATTATAAAGGAGAAATTAAAAGGAGAGAAAGAAGAAAGGTAAGACCCAGTGATCTGGGTCTGGGTTGAGTAAAAACAAAAAAGGCTGAGTAGGATCAGAGCACTCCAATTATAAGTTACTAGTGTTGATCCTATACTTTTATTTTCCCTACTTTCTTTTTCATTGTATAGTAGGGGGGTGGAGGGTTAAAAGAAGAAACATTACAACGGGATATGATGGAGGAGAAAATGCTTAACAATCATAATGATGAATATGAATGCAATCAACTGATAAAATGAAAGAGGCTGACAGAATGGGTTGGAAGCATAACCTAACAACTTATTGTTTATGAGCAATACATGAAATATAAGGATTCATACAGAGTTAAAAAGAGGGGCTAAAATGGAATTTTTTAGTAAACTTTTGATTATTAATGTCAAATAAGGCATAAAATAGGGAGACATATGCACTCACTATGTTGTTTGCCATTATTAATGAAGGACAGCCTGCATGGTATCTAAAATAAACAGAGATTCCATATATGGAATGGTAACGGACAGTAAGGTGCTCCATAACCTCCTCTTTGTGGATGACATAGTGTTTCAGAATTTGGTAAATGAGATCTATAGTCACTCAAAGGAATTTATAACATTCTACACAGGAAAACCAAATGGACAATGAATATCTATTTTCTAGACGAGAGATTCTCTAACTTTTGGGTCTCAAGATTCCTTTACATTCTTAAAAATTATTGAGGACTAGGGACAGCTAGGTGATGCAGTGGATAGAGCTCCAGCCTTGGAGTCAGGAGGATGTGAGTTCAAATCCAGTCTCAGACACATGACACTTACTAGCTGTGTGACCCTGGGCAAGTCACTTAACCCTGATTGCCTCACCAAAAAAAAAAAAAAATTATAAAAAAAAATTATTGAGGACCCTGACCAAAGAGTGTTTATTTATTGGGTTATGTTTATTGATACTTGCTATATTAGACATCTGAATGTCTTTGTATTATTATGACAATAATTTTGACCTCACAGACGTTGGGGATATGTCCCTGGATCACTCTTTGAGAGCCACTGGTCTGGATTATAATATGCATGGATAGAAAGCCCCCTGAACTGATCCATCAGGACAGATACTGCACATGGCAGGCCCAAAATTGAATAGGAGGAAGACAGCAGTATACATTTAGGAAACTGAGCAGTGATTTCAATAACTCCAAGCTTTTCCCTACAACAAAAACCCATCTTTTAAAAAACCAATATTATTCCAGTGATGCTCTATGGACACAAATCTTGGAAATACTATAATTTCCAATGAATCAAATGTGTGTCTTACAAAAAGGCAGTGGAGAAATATATGGCAGACATAAATAAGTTGCATCATGTTATGAGTGATGAATCGTGCAGAAGAAGCAATGCAAAGGATATTTAAAGAGATATATGACCAGAAAAAATGAACCAGTTAATATACTGCAGGGCAGAATTGGTACCAATTTACTGTTAAATTACCTAGGAGAAAGTCCTCAATGTTCTTTTGGATAGACTACCATTGAGGAAAAACATTAATATTCTATCCTGTATTTTAGGCACAAGTCTGCCAGAAACAATTTTTATTTAGTTAAACTAGATTATAAGATCCGTGAGGGCAAAGACTGTCTTTTGTCTCTTTTTGTACACCCAGCACTTTGCACAGTGCCTGCACATAGTAGGCTATTAAAAAATGTTTACTGAATGAATTTAACATTATATTAAACCTAAGCACGTCTAGAAAAAGAAATGGCCAAAAGGGTATTACCATGTCCTTCTATCTCTCTCTACTTCAAGATAGTGTGAGATAACCTTTATAGAAATCTTGAAAAAACCTAGTTTCGGGTTAAATACAGTTTAGGGTTAGTATTTCAGAATAGTCGCTTTACAAAAAAATCACAACCTTCAATGATGGTTATTCATTCCTTTCTGAGCTATTCCCTTCAAGAATTGAAAAGAGTCTCTTAAGGGGTACAGCCAAGATGATAGAGTAAAGACAAACACTCAACTGAGTTCTTCCAAATTCTCCTCTAAACAACTTTAAAATAACATCACAAAATGAATTCTGGTGCAGCAGAACCAACAAAAGGATGGGGTGGAAGAATTTTCCAGGCCAAGACAACTTAGAAGGTTGACAGAAAAGGTCTTCATCACTGAGGTGAGAGAAGGGAACTCTGAGTGCAAACTGAAGTATGATTTCTTCACTTCCATTATTATTGTTGTTGTTATTTGTGATATGGCTAATATGGAAATATTTTCCATGATTTCACATGTATAATTGATATTGTACTGTTTGTCTTCTCAGTGGGTGGGAGAGGGGTGAAAGAGAGGGAGAGAATCTGGAACTCAAAATCAAAAAAAAAAAGAATGTTAAAAATAAATGATAGAGGCTTCTGGGAAGATGGTGGAGAAGGTTCAGAAAACTTTTGGCTCTCCAAATTTCCTCCACCAAAAAAAAAAAAAAGACAGAACATCACCTCAGAGCAGCAGAAATAAACACAGGATAAAGCAGTTGTCCTCCTAAGACAATTTGAGAAGACCCCAGGACAGATCCGACCTCCAGGGGTGGAGGTTTGGCTTGAGTAAAGTACAAACACCTCCAGACTGACTCTGCAGAATCAACAAACAAGAAGTCCTGGGGGCAGCTGGGTTGGGAGGCAGCATCAGCCTTAGAAACTTTCATTTTGCAGACAGTGTGGGGGTCTGAGGGCTAAGTAGGAGAATATTGAAGGACCTTCCACTGTCGAGGGACACCAGGAACAGCTGTGCTGACCAGACATATTCCAGGCTGTGGCTGCAGGAAAGAAGGAGCTAGCACACACCTGGTGAGTGCAGTAGTGAGGGGTGGGGACTCTGTTGATTGTGGGTACTTGCAGGAGAGTAGAGTGCCTGGTTTCAGTTCCAGAGCAGAGAGGACAGCTGTAGTTTGCAGCCACTGGAAGGGCCACAGGAAACAATAGTATTTGTGTGACAGTGTGGCTGGGGGCTCTTGCTGTGGCTTAGGAGTGGAGGGGAGAGCCTAAGGTTGGGCACCAAGATAGAACTCAGAAGATAACAATAAGAAGGACCCGAGACTTGGGGCATCATTCCCACACTTTGGGACTATAACTTAATTTATACTAATAGCTGCTAAAAACAAAATAAAACAAAAAATGAATAAACAAAAATGAGTAAGCAAAGGAGAAGGAACTCAACCATAGGCAGTTACTGTGGGAATGGAGAAGATCTGGGTTCATATTCAGAGGAAGATTATGGAGCTAAAAAAGCCACTCCTTTTCATCAAGAAATGTCAAATGGTCTCAAGCACAAAAAGAGTTCTTGAAAGAACTTAAAAAGGACTTTAAAAATCAAATAAGAGAGATTGAGTAAAAATTAGGAAAAAAATAAGAGCAATCCAAGAAAATCAAGAAAATTATGAAAGTCAACCAACTTGAAATAGAGAAGCAAAAACTTAAGGAAGAAAATAATTCCTAATATTATTTTAACTATAAGCTAATGACATTCTAAGACACTAAGAAATCAAAACAAAATCAAAAGAACAAAAAAAATAGAAGAGAAAGTGAAACATCTCATCAGAAAAATAACTGATCTGGAAAACAGATCAAGGGGAAATCATATAAGAATAGTCAAGTCTACCTGAAAATTATGATAAATAAAAGAATCTTGATGCAATATTACAGGTAATTATCATGGGAAATTGCCCTGAAGTTCTAGAACAAGAAAGTAAAGCAGAAATAGAAAAACTCCATTGATTACTACCTGAAAGAGATCCCAGGAGGAAAACTTACAGAATATCATAGCCAAGTTTCAAGCTCCCACAATAAGGAAAAAATATTGGAAGCAACAAGAAAAAAAACAATTTAAACATCATGGAGCTACACAAGCATACTACAATCCTACTACACAAGACCTAGTAGCTACTATGTGACAGGACTGTAGATCTTGGAATACAATATTCTGTAGATCAGGGCTTCTTAAACTTTTTTCACTCTCAACCCCTTCAGTACTTCTTAAACTGTGGATCACAACCCCAAAATAATAAATTAATTTTAAAAATTTAAAATGAGGACAACAATATCACCTATCTCCCAGAGTGGTTGTGAAGATAAAATGAGATGTTTATAAAGCACTCGGCAAACCTTAAACCACTACATAAATACTAGCTAGCATTAACAATAAAAGCCATTATTATGATAAAACAATAAGTGTTGGCTTTCTTTAGCCCTTTAAAGTTTGCAAAGGGCTTGGCATATATTATCTAATTTTATTTTCCCAACAACCCTGGAAGGTTAAGTGTTATTAGCTCCATTTTTACTGATGGGGAGACTGAGGCAGACAGGGATGCCCAGACTTGGTCAGGGTCACATGGCTAGTAAAGTATCTGAGGCTACATTTGAATTCATATTTTCCTGACTCCAGTCCAGCACTCTATCCATGGCTTATGCGAAAACATGGGTAAGAATCGCACAGGATGAGTAGTAGGCTTGGAAGGTATGCCCTCTAGAGCAGCCTCAAAAAGTGAGAGAGCTGATCTTTCTAGACGGGCTATCAACGTACGTATTCCTATATCACTTCCTCTCAAGAGGAGTACATACCTACACGTCCTAGAAAAGAGCTTCCTCCGCTCGCCACGCGACGGGTCTCTCCTGACTACATTTCCCATAGTCCTTTGCCAGCCTCGCGACACTTCCCTCGAGAGTGGTGGAGAAGACTTGCGAGATCACGGCAGGCCCGTGTCCTTTCGGTTTCCGGCCTTTTGCTGGTTAGGACGGCGTGGACGTGGCTGGCGTGTCGTAGCCTACCCCAGTGAGGCGGCCTATGCGGCGGGCCTTGGTGGGTATGCTGGGCTCCATGAGGGAGCAGTGGGTGCAGGCGCCTAGAAGAAAGCCAAGGCAAGGCTCGGAGAGGCTCCTCGTGTCAGCCCGGGCCCTCTGGCATCCCTTGACCCTCCCAGGCGATAGCCCATCGCCCGTGTTGGTGCTTTTGCACTGGCTGTGCTCCATATGGGCGTCCGGGGTTATTTGCAAATTGTCTGCTTCGTTAGCTTCTAACCTCCTTTAGGTCAGGGCCTGTTTTTCTGTTTTTGCCTTTATATCACTGCGATTACACTCTGCTTAGCTTGTGGGGAGCGCTTAATAAATGCTTGATGTACGAATGACCAATGCCTCCTTAGGGCCCCCCGGGAAACCCTCGGCCCTTTCCGGGCCCCGTGACCTCCGACTTAATCGGCACCTTGGGCAGGAGCATCCGCTGAGTGTGCATTAGGAAGCTAATATGGGAATATTAGAATTTTTTTTTTTTTGTGAGGCAGTCGGGGTTAAGTGACTTGCCCAAGGTCACACAGCTAGTGAGTGTAATGTGTCTGAGGCGGATTTGAACTGAGGTCCTCCTGACTCCAAGGCCAGTGCTCTATCCACTGCCCCACCTAGCTGCCCCAAGAATAGTTCTTAACTTACTTCCCCCGTCGTCCCCACCCCTAAACCTATCCTAGGTTCCTTCCCAACCTCCTATCAGTAACCTATTTGTCATCCACAGGCTTTTCATTTGCTTTGGGAAAAATGGAGGCCACGTTGATGCCAGAAGGGATTGATTGGCCTTTGAAACTGAGAAATGGAAGAGCAGAAAACGGTAGTGTTGTTTTCTCTAAATGGTGGTGATGGGATTGAGTCTATGTAAAAATGGATGAGGATCATAGGAGTATATGTTTAGAACTGGAAGGGGTTTTAGAAATAAATGAGCACATAATCACATCCAGAGAAAGAACTTTGGAGTCTGAATGCCGATGGAAGCATACTATTTGCTCTCCTTTCTTTTGTTGTTTTGTTTTGTTTCTTTCTCGTGGTTTCTCCCCTTAGTTCTAATTCTTCTTTACATCGTGACTAATGTGAAAATGTTTACTATGAGTGTATAAGTAGAACCTGTATCAGATTGCATGCCATGGTGGGGAGGGGGGAGGAGGAGGGGGACTGAAAATTTAAAACTCAAACTCTTATAGAAGTGAATGTTGGAAATGAAAAATTAATTAATTAATTATAAAAGAAAAGAAATAAAGGAGCACAAAAGTCCTCTAGTTTTAGAAATGAGGAAACTGAAGTTCAGAGTTTAAGGGGCTTGCCCATGGGTCACACAGCTTGTAAAGATTTAAGTTTTCTTGATTAGGGATCCAGCCCTCTAACTACTTTGCCATACTTGCCTCCCAGCCAAGGGTTCAACTAACAGAAGACACCTAACATATCTAGAACATTGTTTAGGAGGTGGGGAAGCAAAGTTTAGATAGGGCACTTGGCTCACAGATTTTGCCTGGCAATAAATCCTCCAGTCTGTTTGCTGGCAGTCAGAAATCTGACTTCATCATTTTTCTTATCCTCAAACAAAAGGAAAAACTATATGCACAAAAGTATTAGAAGGTCCTACATGGCAAGTGCAGTGAAGAGAGGGATACATTTAGAGTCAAAGCACCTGTACTCCCACTTTCTACTTGTGTGAACTTTGCACAAATCACAGCCTCAACCTCTCTGCCCCTCAGTTTCCTTACCTGTAAAATGAACAAGTTGGACTATATGATCTGGGTTTGCTTCTTGCTCTAATTTTTTTTATCATAATGATCCTTGCCACCAAAGAGGACCAGGAATTTCTCAGGGTCCATGCTAGTGTTGTATATACGCCTTCTGCCATAAAGCTAGCAGATGGTAAGGAGTACTTGGAAAACCTGACTTGGTTTGGCCTGGGTATTAGAAAATTTTGTGAGAGCTGAGCTAGTGATGATTATAAAGTTATCCCTGTCTGAACGGCAGTTTTTGTGTGGATTCTGTCCTGCTGAGGCCCAGCTCTGCAAACTTAATTCAAGAGTAAACACGACTTGAATATTTGTTTGAATATTCTTATGTATATATCTTTTGGGATGCCAGATGCTGTCTGCTTTTGGACCCTGAAAAAAAGCAGATGAAAAAGTCTTCTTGGAAATGTTAAGATTGTTGGATCTTCTAACTTCCACCTTCAAAGAGTAAGTATTTAAAATTGTCTTGAAGTATGGCGTAGGTTCCTTTAAGTTTTAGTTTTGTTATTGGCCAGTTTAGCCGTTAATAAATAATGGCATGGAGTCCTTGTGAAATATTGGATAAAAATTTGGTAGCCCTGGGTTTTCTAGTCTAGTTCTCTCATTAACTAGTTTTGTTATGTTAATAAAAGGTCATGCTAGATGTTTTCAAAGAATCCATTCCACCTCTGATTTTGTGACCTTATCAAAACATTGGGTTTATTTCCTATAGGAGACTAAGTGCTATATAGAAAAAGAGTGAAAGAACTATTACTCCCAGTAACTCATGAATCTCCTGGGTTGGAAAACTGTTTATGGTGGGGACACAGTTAGAGAAGACAACCCCCTAGTCCACAGAGAGGTTCCTATCTGCCACTGCAAACACATACCCAGTCCTCTATAAGAATGCTTTTCAATGACACCCTATCCCCTCTCTTTAGGGTGTGACTCCCTCTAATTCCTTGGTCCCAGTTCCCTTCTCTCTCTTTAGGGTATGACACCCCCCCCTTTTTTTTTCTTTTCACATAGACTGACCTGAAAACACAAAATGATTTCATTACTTAGTGTTTTCTCAACACTTGTACTTAGCTTTCTTGTCCTAATTTTTGGGGTGTTTGCAAAACAATTCATTTGCCTGGCTGGTTTTTGTTTTTGTCTTGTATATTTAATTGACAACTAGCTGTTATGCTACTTGACGTAATAAAAGACCCAGCAAATTAGTCATATATACATTACAAAATGACTTGAGGGGGAAGAAGAAAAGCAATTCTAGTATGCATTCCTAGGACACGTTAGATTGACATCTATTAAAATAATAGGACTGAGCAAATAATTACTATTTTCTGTAGAATGAGTGATAACAATACCTGGTACTCAGTCTGTCTACCTTATAGTGTTAATGTGAGGAAAAAACAATATGGGTATGTTAATAAAAAGAGTCTTTGACTAGTTATATTAAAAAGTGCTTTTGTTCTGGAGGAGGGTTTTTTAGCCTTTTTAGTGTCATGGATCTTTTTTCATAATCTGAGGCCTATGGTCTTCTCAGAAAAAAAGTTTTAAAATGCATAGGATTGCAAAGGAAGCCAATTATATTGAAAGTGATCAAACTTAGAAAAGGAAGTTCACAGACTGAAGGTTAAGAACCCCTGTACTAGAGGTTGATGAATTGATGAGAGCTGAGGTGGTGATGTTATGAAGTTATCCCTGTCTGAAAAAGAAAAATGTGGAATGAGAACTTCCTGAAGCTTGGCTTGCTTTTAAAATACTGTATTTGAAAAGAATGGGATTTATTGATTTAAGAGTTGACTTAGATGAGTGTTTTATTGTGTTAATTTTTTTGTAGGGTACAGTCTGCCTCAGCTGATGGGAAAAGAAGCTTATGATTTGAGGATCCTTTTTACTCCTATAGCTGGAAGACTTTAGAATATCACTGAAAGTAGAAGCGTATCTATGCTAGGAGAGAAGTAGAAAACTTGTTCTCTACCCTAAAGCAGGTAAACACTATTGAAAAATATTGAAGCTTGGTGCCCCACAGATTATCAGTAAGGACTACACTACACAATAGTGGGTTTATATTATGACTGGGTCATAATCTGTTTTGCCTAAAGGCAAGTTGAAACATGAGAATTCAATGTTTTGTCCCCAGGAAGCTCGAAAAGCCAATGATGTTTTGTTATCCCTGTCTGAAAACTTAAGTGAGGGGAAAGCAAATCACTTCTGAGGCTTAGTAGGTTGGTGCTGCAGTAGTCTGTTAATATGTAAATTATGAAGTTCACCTTTTTGTGAGGATTCAAGATTTAGAATAAAATATACTGTTTTGATTCTTGTTCATTGTGTACAGTCTGCTTGCCCATTGTGGTTTTAATGTTCTTGCCCTAAATCAGGAGACCCAATTCAAATGTACATCTTAGAATCTTGAGAGATTCAGCCCAGGTACTCAGTTTTGAGTTTTTTCTTCTTTGCTCCTCAGTCCCAATTTGCTCTTTCTACCTTCAACCAGATGAAAGTAGCTACTGCTTGTTCCTTTGAATAGCATGAACAGAATGACTCATGTAAAAACATCATATGGACTGTAATCAGCTAAAGAAATCCCCAGTGGATTGTTTGAAAAATCATCCTCTAAGTATTTGTACCATTCAGTAGGTTAAAATTGTATTTATTCATTCACTAGTCATTTCAACAGACATTAAGCACATACTTTGTGTAGAATGTTGTTCCTGGACAGAATGTCAGAAAGTGATGTAAGACATGGGTCACTGTCATAGAGTTAATTAGAGTTGTACAATAAAATATTACGTGAGGTCAGAGGTGAAAGGCCTTACTGTCCAGGTGAATCAGGAAGGACTTTATGGTAAGTAGATAGCATTTGCTTTGGACTTCAAAGGATGAGTAGGGAAGAGAGGCTGGAGAGGTCAGGTGACTGGCAGGTTGATTATCAATTTAGGTGGAGTGGAGGTAAACTAATATGAAATGGAAAAGCAGTAGCACCCTTATTCGTTAATAGGCATTAAGTTAATGTCCTACACCCTGGAACATGGGGAGGGGCGAGTTCCTTTGAGATCTCAGAACTAGAAGTTTGGGGTTAGCTTTCTTGAGTCCTTACTCAGTCTTAGCAAACACTGCTCTAGCTAACCTTAGGAACCCATTCTCTGTAAACCCTACCTCATTCTACCCTTCAGATTAAATTTTGTCATTGTTTGCTGTGACATACCTACATATCATTTTCTTTGAGTAAGATAAAACCTAAATACTGCTATCTGGCACTTTCTGCTTAGAAGTAGCACTAAAGTCAAGAGTGAAAAGACATTGGTTAAATAATTTTGTTGTAGGAATGCCCTTTTATTAGGGAAGACAAGTCAAATTTTAAGCCAGTTTAAAGAATACAGTGCCCTGAAATATCTTTACATCCGGCCACTAATCTTCTTGGCTACTTCCCTTGAAGTCAGCACTTTGACTTTTAACAACAGGGTGGTGGTATAGCACCCAGTGGCAGTTGCCTAGCTGTTTGGCTCAGGGTCCTTTCTGAATGGCATGTCTGGCATGTGGCAATCTTTCAGGCAGCCTTCTAAGAATCTTTGGGCAGAGCACGGAGGTTGTGGGGGTGGTGCTGGATAGCTTCTTGGCTTTTCTACATTTAAATGCCTATTTTGAACTTGGATAGAGAAGGATTCTTTTCCACTAAAAGAAAAGAGTGCTTATGTGTGGGCATTTTATAGTTAATGTCACATTTTTGGCTCAACCACTGGAGAAGGTTTGTGTTTGGATTATAGTTTAGTGGACATGAGAGTGAACCCCATTAACTTACAGGCTGAAATCAAACAGTGAAATGACAGATTGATGACTATAAAAGAAAAGCTTCATTTGGTTGCGTGAAAGGTTCATTGATGGTTGACAGCTGACCTGCAAAGTAATCAAAACCTATCCTTTAAAACCAAGATGATTGTGAGGATATAACTACCGTAAGTGAAAATATTCAAGGAAATCTCCTTCAGTGTAGGATGATCTTAAGAGAGTGACTTAACAGTTCTAGATTCCCTATTTTAAAAAAAAAAAAGCAGACTGTAAGTAGTTCTGGAACTTTCCTCACATTTTTAAAATCACTTTTATATAGTGTGTCAATTTATAAGACACTTCATGACTTTATGAGATGGGTAGTACAAGTCTTAACCCCATTTAAGAAAATGCGGACACTGGAATGGAATTGAATTCACGTAAGACTTGAGTCTGCCACTCCAAATCTCAGTCTCCTCATAAAGTGAACTATCTTATTTAACTAATGAAGATTAATAGATCCAAGATTATTTAACTATTAAGTGGTGGCTCAAACCTTGAAGGTCTTGTGACATTCTAATACTCTAATACCATGTACTCTACTTAGAGGGTCATGCCCATACAAAAGTCCAGTCTTTGCTCTGCCATTTATATACCCTTGTAGATTCTATATGGAACAAACCTGCAACACTGAGCTGGGGTTAGGAAGCTTCTATGTGGTGACCATTTGTTGGCTGCTATTTGACTTGCCATTTTTTCTTTTGACAGGTATTTTCTACTGTTGAAGCTGCATGTGGCCACAGGCTTACTATATGTGTATATACTTTGATATATATGCTTAAAAAATAAAATGATTTGAAAACATGTTTCATAATAAGTACTCTTAAGTTCCTAAATCTTTTTCACCTAAACATCTGTTACCAACAGCAAAGTGGGCAATATTAGTGTTATCGGTAAGAAGGCTCAATAATATTTGTAACCTTTTAGGTTAGTGTGAGAAGCTGTTAGGTTTATCATAGGCTTTCTGAATGTGCTTCTTCGGTGCCAGTTATTGGAAGGCTTACAGTTCTGACTTCCAAAAGCAGTAGAATTTTCATCTGCCTTATGCAAACAGGATTGGTAGGCAGTTATCCTTATAATCAACTGCTCTGAAAATCCAGTCAAAAAACTTCACAGAGTTCTTGGATCCTAGTTGTGATTGCCACACGTCCTGACTTCCACTCTAATCCCCCCTTCCACAAAAAAAGACAAAAGCAAAAGATCATTTAATATTTATGTAATTATACAGAGTGGTAAAATGTTTCAAATTACAATTATCCACCCATTCATCAGGTGGGAGTGCCTCCCCTCCCCTCCCTATTGGGCAGAAATTCATCTTGCAGGAATTGATCTTGTTATTCTCAGAGACCTGCTGTTATCTTACTGAATGATTCTTGTTGAATTGTTCTTTAGTATTGCTTTTCGGTTGTCTCTGGGCAGAGTTTGAAGTTTTTGTGTTTAAGAAATTTTTTTGGCTTTTTATACTATTGTGGGGTAAAGAGGGTGTGATTTTAAAACGCAGGAAAATCAACAACAAGGCATGATGCCCCCAGCTGCATGTTACGATTGTTTTTTTCATCTCCATTGTAGGGTAGGGCATTTTTCTGTTTCAAAATAATGCCTCTGCAAACCATTTGTTAATTCTTAACCAAGGACCGGTTTTCCATATCAGAAACGGAAGTGACTTTGTAAGAAAATGCTGAGCTTGGCTATTGGAGTACTTCATGGCTTGGCTTTGGATTCAGCGCTGATATAGATTCATGACGCCAGCATCGTGCAAGTTCTTCCACAGCTTGCTTTCCAGGCGCATATCATGATTGACGTAAAACACCAAGGGCATCTTCTTGCGCTCATAATAATGGTCAGAAAATTCCTGGTAATTGCTTGTAATGAACCCATAGGCACTGACCTGCACAAGAAGAGTTAAATTAGTTGATAGCATTTATTCCCACTAAATGCATAATCCTATGAAAAGGGGAGATACTGTCCCTGGCTCGAAAGGACTCATTTATTAAAAAGTTAATTTAGAAAGTTGTGTAGTGCAGCAGTCTCAAGGATCTTTTGTTTCAAGGGAGACAACATATATGTAGGAGTAGGTACAGAATATACATTAAAGTAATGTAGTAAGGTAGTTTTGGGTTTGGGGTACTCTAGCATGTGGGATGGGAAGGCAGGGTGTAGGCAAATCAGAAAAGGCTTCATGAGGAAGGTACTTGAGCTGAACTAAAGGAAACCAGGATATCCAAGTGACTGATGTGAGGAAGTTAATTCCAGGGATAAAGAGTAGCCAGAACAAAGGTATAGATCAGTAAGATGCAGGATCCTGTGTGCATAACAGCGAGAAGGCCTATGTGCCTAGTACATGTGTTTGATCCTACGTCCAATAGGGAACCACTGGAGTTTGGGAGGGGGAAGATGTCAGCTATGCTAGAATGATATTCCACCTGTATTATAAGAAAATGGCAGCTGTGCAGATGATTAGTTGGAAAGGGGATAGGTGTGTTGGGCAGGCCCAAATAGACTTGTTTTAGAGGAGACAAAGGTGCCTAGGGTGACTGAGACAAGATTGCAACTAATTGGATATGCAGGATGAATTAAGAGTACTCAAGGATGACAAGTTGGGAACTTGAATGGAAGTATAGTGGTGCCCAAAACAGTAATAGAAAAGTTTGGAAAAGGGGTGAAATTTTGTTGAGGATATAATTGAGTTTGAGATGTTTGTAGGACACCCAGTTTCAAATGTCCAATAGGCAACTCAGGAGAAGAGCTAGGACTACATAGAGATAATCGAAGGTGTGTGAATTGATGAGATCACTGGGAATGGAACAGCTTTGGGGGTATGTGTGCCTAGAGTTGGGTACTGAAGAGTAGGGGTTAAGGAAATGAAAGTTGAGTTTTTGAGGAGAGAGACTTGGTCATGTTTGTAGGCATCAGGAAAGGGTCCAGTAGATAGGGAGAGATGGAATGTCAAGAAAAGTGGGAGTTATGGTGAGGACAATGCCAATATTAATAAAACCTGTCAGAGAGATTGTGACTTCCTTATTGTAACAGCTAGTATAGGAGGGGAATTTGAAACCAGGTCTTCCATATTACTCACCCTTCCCTCTTCCCCCACCCCCCAGTACTATGTTATAAATGATATTAATGTAATAAATTGCTAGGTCTGCAAATAAACGGGGAAAGGATGTGAGAATAGGATGCATATTGGTGTGGGCCTATGCTTAGGGATGTTTATTAAGAAATACTCAACTAGTAGTATGTGAAGCTTTGGACCCCATAATTTTAGTATTGGCAAGGACCACTTTATTCTCTTTAAAAGAAATTGGAAGATAGTTACTGCTCATCCACAGCCATACATCTCCTAAGATAAGGGAAACAAGTTGGAAAGGGCTATGAATGGGAAAAGGCTAAAATATGAGTCCATAGCAGTTCGGTAAACGATGATGGGATTTTGCCTGGGGGTGGGGCGGTGACCGAAGGAGGCAAAGGCTGGGATGCGTTACCATGAGTTAAAGAGTATTTCTCAGGAAACTGATTATAGGCCTAAAGATCTAGTAAAGATCTGCAACAGGGAATAATCAGGTTCACTGATGGTTGTGGTCTAAGCACAACAGGACTGTACCAGGAAGAGGAGAGATTTCTTACTTGGTCACAGGTATGCAAAGCTGTCAGTAACATGAGGGCTCCAGTACTGGGCATGTACAGGTACCCATACTTTTTATTGATGAGGTCTGATTTCAAAAACCTGGAGGCAAAAAGAAGGGTCATGATTTTTCACATAAAAAGTTCAATCCATGCAAATCAGAGGCCTCTGACAGTTAAAACTCTGACCATGCATGGTATTGCATTTTTGTAACAACTAGCACAAATGAATTAGAAAATGTTTCTTCAATGACTTTTAGGATTCATCCTTTGTTAGTCATATTCCCATGCTGGTAGCCCATTTCTTATATTTGTATATCTTATCAATGTTGATAGTAGTAATTAGAAGCTGCTGCTATATAATGGAGCCCAACCCAATCTCTTCCTGCCTGGTTCCCTCCTCCTTCCCACCAACCCTACCTTTGTCACTGCTCTGTCTTTGAGGGAATCCCACAGTGAACTCTTTATTGAACCCAACTCTAAAATTATCCTTTGCCCCTAGACCAAGAGGTAGCAGACAACTCATGGTACAGTGGAAAGAGCATTAGTTCTGGAAATGAAAGATTTAGATTCAGATCTCTCTTCTGATCTTTATTCATCTGTGTGACCGAAGCCTCAGTTTCCTCATCTATAAAATGAGAGGATTGGATTAGATGGCTTCTGAGGTCTACAGTAGTAGCTCTGATTATCTATGAAAGGAATAAGTGACTATATTCCCTTAAGCCCCAAATCTTAAGGATGGTGAGGGGCCTGGGGTTAAGTGCAGACTACAGGAAGTGTAGAGAGGGATAGGGCAGGAAGATGCTAGTTAGTGCCTGGATCAAGCAGTGACCACCCAATGGTGAAGGAAAGTGTTGAGGGAGATGGAGGCAAAGGTCAGGGAGTTGATTTCAGCATTGAAAAGGGCCAAGGCCCTGGGCCCCTCCATACCTCTCTTTCAGGTAGTTGATGAACTCTGGATGCAACAGCTTGAATTTACTCGCAGAGATGTCTGGTCCAAAATAGGTCTGTGGCCTAGGAGTTTTCACGGAAGAAATGTACAGAACGATTATAAGTAATATCAGAAAACCGAGTTGGAGATGATGGTGATATTGGGACAAGGGAGTGATGACGCCGCCACCTATGAGCTCGGGGATGAGGATGGTGTCGAGAGAAAGGGGTATAGAAAGCTGCAGGTATTATGGTAGGAGCACGATAGGGTTTTGTTAAAGTGAAACAGTCTAAAGCAGGCTGGTGGGTTAGAGAACAAGGGGGTGTGAACACCCCATTAGTAGTTGGGTAACTGAGCTTAAGAGGAGGGAGACGAGGAGGGGCAGGAAAGAGTGGAAAATAGAGAGATTCTCCAGGTTTGGATTTCTCAGGAGGGCAGGGGTAGTTACAGGGAAAGCAAGGAGTGAAAGGAATAGGAATAGTAGGTGGCTGAAAATAAGGGTTTGGGGTGAGGAGGTGGGAAACATATGGGGCAATATGGGAAGGGACAAGAGGAGACCGAGTCCGAGTAGGCCATACTGTTGTAGAAGGAGAAGCATTGGCAGAAGTTTGGGAGGATTGGGAAGGGGATTTGGAGGGAGGTGGAGTGGGAGTCTGAGAAAGACCCCGGGGGGGAGGTCGGGTTTGGAAGGGAGATGGGTTTATAGCTGGGGTGGTAGTTTGGGAAGGAGGTCGTGAAGTAGGTTGAGAGGGAGAAGTCGGTCCACCAGGAGTTTGGGATGGAGCTCGAGAAGAGGGAGATATGGGAGGAGTTTGGGTTGGTGTTCGGGGATTCTGTGGGTTAGATCCTCTAGGTGTTGCATGAGGTGCATTTTGAGAAAGGCGGCCCGAACGGGATTGGGAGGGGGATTGGGCAGGGGAAGGAATGGGGGATTGGGCAGGGGAAGGAATGGGGGAATGGGAGGGGGAGTTCATTGGTGTTGGGGAGGCTACTATCTATCATATAAAACCTAGCCTCTGAGTGAACCTCTCTTAGGAGCCCAAACCCCTCCCGGGTCACAAAAGTCATTGTTATCATCATCACCATCATCAATTAGTAATTATTGAGTGCTTACAAAGTCCAGGGCACTATGCATGCTTGTGAGGAGTTAAGAGGATGGCCAACCTCAAAATCTCCTTAGTTTTGTAGGGGGTGAGTATAAAATGGTTAGGGTTTAGATTTTTTTTTTTTTGCATTGGTGTGGGGCTAAGTAAAGTTAGATAGACGTTAGGGGGAACCCTGAAGGAAATCATTTCAGGCATATAGAATTTCATGGGAGAAAGCTCAGTTTGGAGCAAAGAAGCTGCTTGGTCTAGGAAGGAAGTGAGGAAGGGACAGAGGTTTGAATGAAGACACAGGAATACAGAATTTCCTTGGTCTTGCCTGCATTTCATGGGAGGCTTAGCAGTAAGCAATCTGTTCTCCTGTTTATTAGTTGGGAGAGAAGCATGGTTCTCTTAGTCATTGAAAACAATTTTCTTAACCAAGGGAGGAACCCCCACTACTGAAAGGCTTCTTCCAGACCCTAGCTTTGGGCAGCTGGATTAGTTTTTGAAAGATCCTTCAGACAAATAATAAATAAATCCCTACTTGGCCCATTCAGAACTGAGCTCTGACACCTATCACCTGTGGTTCGACCAGAGTCCAAATCTGGCCTCAGACACTTGACACTTACTTAGCTGTGTGACCCTGGGCAAGTCACTTAACCCCAAAAAAGCCTCAAAAAAAAAGTTATTGGTGACCAATAGGATATTTACCTGGCAGTGATGTTACCTGCACTTTTCCAAAGGGTGGGATATCATGGGAATGAAGAGTTTAGGTCTTAACCTCTTCCTCTGCCTTGGGAATTAGTCAACCCTGCTTGGAGAAACCTTGACGGTGGCCTTCCCTGGTTTCCACTCACCCCATCCCACCAATGCACCCCCTGGATGTTGGGCAAGTTACTAACTACTCCAGCTTCCTGCCCCTTCCTTTTCTTGTACCCCCCACCATATAACACGATACCACCCCTAACTGGCCTATTCTACTTACTTATCTCCTTTGTCATGGCCCTCAGGAACAGGCACCCCCAGAATGGCTGACTTTAACATCAGGTAGTCCCGCATATTTGAAGGAATGAAGATATAGTGCAGGTCCTGCCAAAGTGATAAGAGATAACTGAGCCAGCAATGTGGGTTGTATATTTATCTAGCCCAGATACTCCCTCTCCAAACCTGGGCTGGCCTACTAGAGAATGACCTTCAAACCTTCCAACTCCCATCCCCTGAGATAAGATGCAAGGTACTTGATATCCTTGATAATCCCCAGGGCCCAGAAGGAGGCTCTGGATTGAGGAGTTAGTCTTGAGACTTGGCAACAAGACACACTTGTCTGGTTGATCTGCTGTATGATTAATTAAGGGCTCTTAATTGTAGTCCCTCAGTGTCAAAACAAACCAAAAAACCTACTGGGAGATCCTAGTCCTACTATGTCCCCCACTGTGTATTTGCACCCTCCCTCCACACCCCAACTGACTTCCACTTCCCATTTCTTTTCTGAGGGATAGAGTCTCGCCTGAGGCAATAGGGAATCTCCCTCTCTAAACTTCTAGTCTCCATGGCAAGGCTTCTTAAATTCTTTGTGTGTCATGTACCCTTTTGGTAATCTGGTATCTGGTGAAATCTAATTTTTTCCCATCCAAGTTCATGGACCCCCTGAACTACCAACTAGCTCCAACCCTTCTCAGAATAATGTTTAGAATGCATGAAACAAAATATATAAGATTACAAAGGAAGCCAAAGTTTAGTCAAAATAAAGATGCAATTTTTTTTCCATCCAAGTACATGGACCTCCTGAAATTAATCCCCAGGGTAAAAACCCTTGCTCTATGCTATGTGTCAGAATCTCCTGTGACGCCCAGAATTGGGGTCTGAAGGGCATGAGGGTTAGTGCTCCTCATTTTTCCAAGGGGTTCTAGCTATACAGGTATGACCTGTTGACCAAGCCCAAGGGCCTGTGTTCTACAAATCAAAGTCTTCAGTCCCATAGGGAGTACTAACTTGGTGCTTGGGCACTGAAGTGAAGCCCAGATGCCTGTAAGCTCTCAGGGAGTTCTTCATTGTGTTCACAGTGAAGCCATAGAATGAAGTCTTGGTGCCCACATCCTCCTCATAGCCTTTAATCACAGCCCCATTGAGCCTGAGAAGAAAAGGAGTTCCCCGTTATACCAACTTTACTTCTCATTAATCCCCAACTCATTTTACCTTATCTAAGTTGACCTATAGCTTCCTCTCTGCCAGTCCATATCCCTCCTCTCCTTCAAAATTAAGGAAATGCTTCCTATCTTGGATTGCTGCTTTCATCCATGTTCTTTTGGCACTCATATCCCTTTTTTTCTACTATATTAATTTTCGTGTATTGATTCATATATTTGTTCTTAAGTCTTTTTCCATGAGCATGTCCTATCTTTCTCATTGGATTAGGAGATCCTCAAAATCAGGTGCTATTTTTTCTCTTCATGCCAAAAAAGGTTCTGCAGACATTAGGGAGGTTCTCGATTTGCAGTACTTACTCTACTTTTTACCCTTCTCCCCCTATGACCAGATGCTCTTGTTTCCTCTCTTTTTTAGCCATTCTCCTCCACTTCATCACCTCTCCCCCCATCTTCTCATTAGCCTTCTCTCCTGACTGGGCTTTGTGGCTCATACCTGAAGACGAAGTCATGGGAATCAATCTGTAGACCTTGACGGGACCCATTGAGAATGCCACCATTGCCCACAACAGCACATCGAATGCAACCCAGGTGTTGTTTCACAGAGAGATCAAACAGCTGAGCATTGGCTGAGGTATTCAGGAGGCTCATGGTAGAAGCGATAGCTGTGGGATGGAAGCCAGGACAAGGGGAGCTAAGGAGTGAGTATGGGGGAGGCATATCACAAGCTCTTGACTCTTAGCCCTTTTACCCAAAGAAAAACCAGCAAAGACATGGGGTAGGAACGATGGACCATTTATCAAGACAAAGAAGGAGGTTGGCTTGGTGAGAAGGTGCAGGGCTGGGGGGAGAAGGCAGTGTCAGATTTGGAAGGGAAGCTATTAATATAACTTGTACTTTGGTTCCTCATCACCCTTGAACCTTTTAAGAATCCAGAAGGGCCAGGGTCTAGGGATCCTTAGCTAGGCCTAAGTTGTGAGCATATATTGAAGAATAACCTAAGCTTGCAAAAAAAATAATAATCTTAAGGGAACACAACAATGAAGATCAGAAATGAGGACCCTTCTGCCTCATTGTCAATGCCTGTGTCCCTCCTCTCAGATCAGTAGATTAGCCTAAAAGGCAAAGGGGTCTTTTCTTCTCAGTGGTCTTTGGGGAAACCTGCATTTCATGGACTTTCCGAGAAGAGAAGGAAAACAGCTATGACCAATGCCCAGGATAGAGACGTGCTCTGTCTGACCTTACAAAGTTGCCCCAACCAGACCCCAGCATCTCTGGACTTCCCTCCCACACTAGATACACACAATGGGGGTAGTGGAGGAGAGAGAAGCAAAAGGGATGTAGATATGGGTGAGCTCTATCAGGTAGGACCCTAGGCTAGGAATTACAACAATTTTGGCAGGAACAATAATAGGCAAGGCTGTTTGAGGTCACTGGAATGTTTGCTATCTGTATCTGGACATCAGAACATTTCGAGTAGGAAAAGATAAGATACTCCACAGAGCTCCTCAGCCCTCCCAGACTGGGGCCATGGCACCCAAAGACAGAAGGGTGGGAGATCCTTGGCTCTAGCAAGATTCCTTTGGAGAACCTAGGGGTGAATGAGAATGTCAGTGAAGGGAGTGCTCAGCAGGTGTCTGAATTTTGGGACAGTAATCAGTACTGTGAATACTGTAGCTCCCTTGGGATGTAGCTCAGCTTCTGGGTGGGAAGGATGAGGGGAATCCCATCTTACCTAAGGGAACTAGGGATGAGAGGCAGTGAATGGAAGAAGCACAGGGCTGGAGACAGCAGCAAAAGATTACCTTGGTAGGAAAGCCCCCGCCAGCCATAGGGAGCATTCTGTTGATTCAGTTGGTCCCAGAGCTCCTGGGTGAAGAGCCTGCCATAAAGCAGCACTGGGATACTGAAGTTAAACTTATACTTGAAAAGGTAGTGTTGTTGAGTGGCAGGGACCAGTGGGCGGTTGCAGGGCTGGTGCTGTGGGGGAGAGGTGACGTAGCTCAGAGTTCAGGCCAGTATGAAGACGGGACAGTCTGGTGGGGAACCAGGAGGCCTGTCAGAGGATGGGGGAAGGGAGAGAAGAAGAGAATAGGAAAGCAACCATTCTTTCCACCCAAGGCGCTACAGCAGGGGTGGGGAACCTGCAGCCTCGAGGCCACATGTGACCCTCTAGGTCCTCAAGTGTGGCCCTTTGACTGAATCCAAACTTCACAGAACAAATCCCCTTGATCAAAGAGTTTGTTTGGTAAAACTTGGACTCAGTCGAAAGACCTAGAAGGCCACAATGTGGCCTTGAGGCCACGGGTTCCCCACCCCTGCACTAGCTACATGGTTCAAGAGACAATTCAAGCTTATCAGGCCATGCTAGGACTTATGAGCCTTTAAGAATGGCATCACCCAGCTCTCATAGGCAATTCAGTTTAGTAGAAAGACTGGGAATGGGGACACCTGAATTTGCCATTAACTCATTGTGTCGTGTTGGGCAAATCATCTTTCTGGATCTCATCCATAAAATGAAGACTATCTCTACAATCTTTTTAACTCTCACATGTCATGATCTACTAACCCCAATGAGAAATGGCCCAGCTTTCACTTTCCCAATCCACCCAGCAAGCATTTACCAAAAACCTACTAAGTGCAAAATGCTGATCTAGGTCATGAGGATGCAAAGAACAAATGAGAAACCATCACTGCTCTCTATTATCATCCTGGTCTTTGCTCCCACCATTTCTTAGGTGTGCAGGATGTTCTCCTCCCCGCCTTTTAAAATCCTACCCATTCTTCAAGATCCAACTCGAAAAACCATTTCATCCACAAAGCTTTCCCTGATCTTTCCTAGTTAGCAATGCCCTCCCCCAGTCTCCAGCTCATATAGCACTTTGAACCTCTTTTATATATTTATTTTACATTATTTCTTATTATAGTTCTCTGTGTGTATACTATATTTGCAACTAAACTGTAAGCTCCATGAAAATAATAAGTGTGTTTCTTAAACTTTATACCACATTCCCTTTCCTTCCCACGGCCCCCTTCCAACCATGTGCAGTGAGTGCTTTACATGCAGTAGGCACTTAGTAAATGTTTTTTGATATGATAAATTATAATAATTATTACTATATTACGAGCAGATGATATTACTATATCATCTTAGACATCATTACATTTTCAGGTGATGTTGTTACCTTAGACTTCTTTATATATTGCACTTTTAAGTTTTGCCCAATAAGTGTGTGCCCTGTCTATCCGAATAGATTCGGAGGGCTCTGTATCATTTCCTCTGTTTTAACCCCCAGTGTCTAGAGAGGTGTTTAGAATACAAGGGGCTCTCAGGCTATAGGATTGCCTAACTTGTTAGGGGGTGGGGACAGAGAGCAGGTTACTAAACAGTGTAATCTCTGGATCAATCCCAACATCACAGTGTTTATATGTGTGCCCACTATATTCTGGGCACTGTGCTAGGTGCCAGAGAGGCATGGCTACAAAAGGTGTCTCCTCGATTGGGATCATCTCATTAGGGTCACCTTCTAATCCTGTCTTTTTTTTCCCCCTGACCTAGGATTATTACATCCCTGCAGAAGGGCTGATCATCATACCTTTCTAGTCCAAAGATTGGTAGATACAGATGATGTGTTCCTGTGGGAAGAAAGCAAAAACAGATAAACAAAGGATCCATACTCCTGTCTTTTTGTGAGGTGGTATAATGGATAGAGAGCTGAACCAGGCTATTTATAATTTTATAAGTTTATAATCCTTCCTCAGACGCAACCTGTGTGACTCTAAACAAGTCATTTAACCTCTGCCTGCCTCAGTTTTTTCACCTATAAATGGGGATAATCATAGCACCTACCCTTCAGGGTTGTTGTGAAGATAAGATAACATGTAAAATGCTTTGCCAAACTTAAAGCACTATCTAAATGAAAGTTGTTATTATTACTATTATTATTATTGTTGATCCTCTTGATTTCCTCAAGCTCTTGGATACCACTCAATCTCCCTTGTTTTTCTTGTGTAAAATATTGTGTAAATATTTTAAACAAAAAGAATCAAACGCTTGCTTTTCTCCAGAGGTTATGGGAGAAAAGCAAGCCTTTGATTCTTTTTGTTTAAAATATTTATTGTAAAGGGCAAGTACAGGTGGTGCGGTGGATAAATCACCAGGCCTAGAGTCAGGAAGACTCATCTTTCTGAATTTAGATCTGACCTCAGACTCTCACTAGCTGTGTGAACTTGGGCAAGTCATTCAGCCCTGGTTGCCTCAGTTCCCTCATCTGCAAAATGAACTGGAGAAGAAAACAACAAAGAAACCACTCCAGTATCTTTGCGAAGAAAGTCCCAAATGGGGTCATGAAGAGTTAGACATGACTGAAAAAGGACAGAACATGAAATTATTATAAACTTAATAATGCTCTGAACAAATCCAGTTAAAGAAACAAATTGCATATGAGTATTGAACAATATTCTTTTATATACATAAAACCACGGAAGCCAAAATACTTAAAATTCATTTAAAAACAATACTTTGATGGATCTGTGGCCTTGTCCATGTAGGTAATTCCTCCACCAATTAGATTTACTTTATATTGGACCAGAAATCTGTCAAATATAGAGATGACAGATTCCTGGACAGAACTGAAGTATACCTAACCAAAGCTGGTAGGAATATATTTTGCTAGGTATTTTGCAAATATAATAGAAAAGGCTTTAGATTAAAGAGGTTATATGACTAAGGCATTTAGGGTAACTAAATAAATTAGAGGAGCAAGGAAGAAAATACCTTTCAGATCAATGGATAAGGGAAGAATCCATGATCAAATAAGGGATACAGAAGATCAGAGAAAAGAAAATGGACAATTTTGATTATATAAAATTAAGAACTTTGTACAAACAAAACCAAATGCCATTAACATTCAGAGGGAAACAAAAAATTAGGAGGGAAATTTTGTAGCAAGGTTTCTCTGATAAAGGTCATATCCAAGATACACAGGGAAATTCATAAGAACAAGAACTTTTCTCCAATAGAAAAATGGTCAAAGGATGGGAATAGGAAGTTATCAAAGGAAGAAATCCAAGATGTTAAGAAGCATAAGAAAAATGCTCCAAATGACTAATAATCAGAGAAATGCAAATTAAAGCAATAATGAGATTCTACCGTATTCCCATCAGATTGGCAAAATTGACAAAAAAAAAAAGGAAAATGATAGTTATTAGAGGGACTGTAGGAAAAAAGTACATAGATGTACTGATTACCCTCACCTCCAATTTGTTATTTATTTATTTTTAATATAAAATTTTTGAATTTTGACTTCCAAATTCTCTCCCTCCTGCCCTGTCCTCACTCATTGAGAAGGCAAGCAATATGATCTCAATTATACATGTGAAATAATGCAAAACATATTTCCATATTAGTCACATGGGTATAGTATTGATGGAGCCGTGTATATCTAGACATTCTAGAGAGCAATTTGGAATCATGCCCCTAAAATCATTAAATTTTGCATGACCCTTTCATAACCTTTACCAGGTCTGTATCTCAGAGAACAAAGAAAGAGGGAAAGAACCTATATGTACAAATATATTCATAGCAGCTCTTTTTGTGATGGCAAAGAACTAGAAACTAAGGGAGTGACCATCAACTGAGGAATGGTTGAAGAAATTTTGACATGAAATTCAGCTAGTTGTGAAGTGAAGTTAGCAAGACCTGTGTTCAATCCACCCTCAGACACTTACTAGCTGTGCAACTCTGGGCAAGTCACTTAACCTGGTTGCCTTAGTTTCCTCATATGTAAAATAGGGATCATAATAGCACCTATCTCCCAGGATTGTTGTGAAGATCAAATAAAATAATATCTGTAAAGCACTTAGCACAGTGCCTGGCACATAGTGGGCAATTTAATAAATGTTTGTGCCCTTCTCCTTCCCTATAAACATAATGAAATATTGTTGTTGTTGTTGTTTAGTTGTTTTTAGTCATGTCTGACTCTTCATGACCCCATTTGGGGTTTTGGCAAAGATATTAGAGGGGTTTGCATTTCCTCTTCCATCTCATTTTACAGCTAAGGAAATTAAGGCAACCAGGTTAAGTGACTTGCCCAGGGTCATACAGCTAGTAAGTGTTGGAGGCCAGATGTGAACTCAGGAAGATGTGAACTCCAGGCCCAGCACTCTCTCTACTTGCCTTAAGAAATGATGAAATGGGCAGTTTTAGAGAAAGCTGGCAAGACCTACATGAACTGATGCATAGTGAAGTGAGCAGAACCAGGAGAACAATAACAATAATATAATGAATGCAATGAAAGACAAAGCCAATGAGAGTCCTGGGCTTGAATGCTTTGCTGCTATTCCGTATGAAGGCTAGGAGGCCTGCTTCTAAAAGCGCATTTTAGTGTGTAATGGAGCGGCTGGGCCCCTAATTCAGAGTACATGCAAGTATTCTGTAACTGTTTCCAGTCTATTACAATTGCAAGCCTTTTGATTGAAGGCAGAGCTGGAACTAACTGTGCATTTAAAAGTGTGCTAGCATGCCAAAGCACCCTTTTAACTCTTCCTGGGTGTGTTGGAGTGAGGAGGAAATAACTATTGCAAGACTAGAGTCCATGTCAGAATTTGTAGGCAGCCAAGCCTGGTGAGGAGTAACCCGCTTGACACAGCATTATTAGGAGATCAAGCCAAGAGGAAGCAACTAGTCCATTAGCTATGCCAAATTGGGGAGTGAACTTGGTGGGACAAAGGTTTGGATAGCACTGATTTTAAATCTGAGCCCATTGTTCCCAGGACCTAAGGTAGTAGCGGAAAGAGTATGCCCCTAACATATTCGAATAGAAATGCTTTATAATTTCTGTTCTTGCTGTGTCTTCTCAGTAAATATCCTTTTGTTATAGCTAATTGGTATTAATTGGTTAAATTATATTGGGGGGGGGGGTAGAGCCAAGATGGTGAAGTACAAACAGCAACCCAGCTGGACTCTCCCAATATTCCCTTCCAAACAACTTTAAAATAACTCATAAAATCCAATTTTGGAGTGACAGAGCCAACAAAAATTCAGTGAGACATTTTTCCAGCCTAAGAGAACTTGGGAGGTTGGTAGGAGAGGTGTATTACAATACTGGGGTAGGGATAGGACCAGAGCATACGCAATGGCGGTATCAGTCACGGGTTTTGGAGGCTGTGACAGTGGCAGCAGCAGTAGCAGCTGCAGGAGCTCTCAGTCCAGAAACAATAAGGGAGTTAGACGATTGGTCAGAAAGAGATTACAGGGGACCTTTCGCTGACACTGGGTGCAGCTGGCACTGATTTTCAATTCTATTGCCTATAAGCAGTTAGGGTCACAGTTCCAGAGTGGAGAGGAGTTCTTTTTATCAGTCACAAGAAAGTAGGAGCCTTGGCTGCAGTTCCAACACAAAGAGAAGCACTAGTGCTTTCTGCTATAGGCGAACAGGGGTCCTTCCTGGGTAAAGACCAGAGCACAGACTGAGAGAGCAGTGACCACATCTCCCTCTGAATCATACCACCTTGGAAGCACGGAAGAATCACAAAACTAGCTCTGAAAACAGTAACACAAAAAAGTCTGAAGCTTGAGACAGTGCCTTCTAAGGTGGGCAGAAGCCAAGGTTAGGATAAAGTTCAAAGTCAACAAATAGGCTGTCAAATTAGTGAACAACACAAGAAGAACTTGACCATGAAAAGGAACTACAGTGGCAGGGAAGACTAAGACACAAACTCAGAAGACAACAACAGTGTGAAAACAGCTGTAAGCAAAGCATCAAAGAAAAATGCTAATTGGATGTAAGCCCAACAAGAATTCCTGGAAGAGTTGAAGAAAGAGATAAGACCCACCCCCCATTCTCCAACCCCCTGGGGAAACCCTGAAAAAGAAAGTCAAAAGTTCTAATCCTACTCCCTTTGTCTAAAGACCACCAAGAGGCAGTTACATGTCTTTGGGGATCAGCACAGCAAAACCACAAGATACAAATTTTTTCCCAATTTCTTCTAACAGCATTTTCAGAAGATACTCTTGTGGCAAAATTAAAGGAAACTTGATAAACATGACCTATATTGAGAATATCTTTCCTTCAATGACTCCAGTGAGTGGTTTATAAATAAAAGCTCTTTCACTTAGACCAGCATTTTCCAAATTGTATTCCATGTGATCTGAATAGGGACTACATAAGAAAATGTCAATGCTAGCATTTTTTTTCTCTGAAATGTTAAATAGAAAGTTAGACGTCAAAAAAAAAAGAAAGAGATAAGAGCGGCAGAAGAAAAATTGGGAAAAAAATGAGAGTGATGCAAGAAAACTATGAAAAAAGAATAGCTTGGTAAAAGAGGCACTGAAATTCACTGAAGAAAAACTCAAAAAGCAAAATAAGCCAAATGGAGAAGGAGGTACAAAAATTCACTGAAGAAAAGAACTCCCTAAAAAGCAGAATTAGCCAAATGAAAAAAGAGATACAAAAGCTCACTGAAGAAAATAATTTCTTAAAAATTAGAATAGGGCAAGTGGAAGCTAAGACTTAATGAGATATCAAGAAACAATAAAACAAAGTAAAAGGAATGAAAAAATAGAAGAAAATATGAAATATCTTATTGGAAAGACAACTGACCTAGAAAATAGATCACGGAAAGATAATTTTGAA